CACCGACTGACCGAACAGAAAGCTAATGCAACCGTTTTTCAACTGTCTTAATGACGCATATGAGGCATTCCAGTTCTGATTTTAATGGCAGTTGGTTCGACCAAACAGCACCTACGAACTTTAGATCTTCTCTGTTTAGCTATTCTGAATTTCCGGATGTGCACGCAAACCATACATTGCGCAGAGGGGGAAGTTTATCGTCTGAACGTCTTGCTTAGACAGGGTGATCGGCTAACAGTTATGAAAACTTACTGATCATTATCACAGGTAAGAATCAGTCTGTAACTGGCACGGACTATTTGAATAGGTAGAACAATTCTGGACATGGTACAGCTACAGTATAGCTAACAGGGTTAATGCAAAATATCAATTTATAAAACCTTTTGTTCTTCTATGTCTCATACCATTTATAATGAATCATTTTACTTTGCATTAATAATTATATACTGAAATCCAATTGAGCGAAACTAACAGAAACAACCTTTAAAGCATGTTAATGTACTACTGAATACACATACTGACATATACTTGTGGTGACTAGCAAAACGTCAGGTTAGGTAAAGCTAGGTAGTTGCTTTGTATCGTGGACGCAAGTTGGCTTGCTATTTATTTCACAGTATAAATTCTAGATTCTATTAAAAGGAATGTACATATCTGAAATATACAAATCTTCTGATGGGTAAAGTATTTATAATTGTTCAGCTGATTGAGAACTGTTATCAGAACAACTTTGCGCCGAATAACACAAGTACCACTGAACCGTCAATGACCACCACCACTGCTCCTTCCTCCTGTATAAACCAATAGGATGTGATCAACGGATGGAGTGGGCTAAATCTGACTTAATTCACGCTCAACAGAGGGCTGCGAAACGGAGATATTATGTATGTCAGGGTTTGCCTGTATATAATGAAAGTGAAGTACACGAACTATAACCTCTAAATACATGCCCTTCCGTCCTTCCTAACACAAATCTAAAATGAATTCACAGCATAGCACAACAATCCCAAGAATACTCATCGATTTTGCGGAAAAAAATAGAATCAGCCATTGGAAGAATTTAGAATATCATATTCAAGCTCAGCCAACTGCAAGTTAGCTATATCAATGCAATGCACATGCTAAGATAAAATGGACTCCTCTGATCAGCCGGAAGAGCATTCCATTAATCCAGGAGAGGAAACGTCAAACTTCAGAGGAAGATTAAGCAGTGAGGCAAGACTGTGAGGCTCGCAATAACGCTGATATGCGAGCCCTATTATGTTACTGCAATCGGTAACGAAACGTTCAACTGATTCGAAACCTTATGATCACTGTCTTACATTTGGTTGTCATTCGTACATAGAAACATATCCAATCAAATTATGGTCCCGGATTCAAATAGTTATCCAAGAGGGTATAAGAATTCATGAGACCGTAGAAAGGTCACCCTTGTTGTGATACGATAGAACCATTTAAACTGCTATCACTGCCATTATCATGAGAGAGCCATCGGCGCAATTACAGTACATGGAAATATGAGGTCGAAACACTTGTTTTCTTAAACAGCACTTACTTCATGAGCTTGTCGATATTCTTCACGAGTTCCATCGCCTCATACTCCTTCTGTTCCTCGGACATGTCATCGGTCGGATTTGGATGAGGCTCTTCGTAGCATCCGGTCACAGGATTTATGAACTCCTTCGCCTGCGCGTATTCTTCCGTCTCTGAATCCTCATCCGGCGAACATTCTTCGTCAAGGTCCTGTTTCTTTGGTACTAAAAAGCTGCGCGCCGAAAGCATGCCGAAGGCGTTTCCGAAGCCGGTGTACTTAATGAATCGTTCGACTAAACAGCAAGATTTATAAACAACAAACTTGTGTTAACGATATTAGAAATTCTAATTAAGGTTTTAATACAACTTTTATATCAAAGAACGTATCAAAAGAACTAGCACACCAGATATTATTATCCACGTAAAAATGAATCCGCTAGCAAAAATTAGCTTTCATAACAACCGGTGACCATCATCCTTAAAGTCTTAGAATCTGCAAAACGAATTGACGGCAATCTTTTACTTCAGAAGGCCTAAAAAGTTATTTCAGAAGGTCAAGTGACCTCACAAACCGCTCCAGAGTTGTTACAGAAACGACCTAAGGATTCATGACATTTGAGTACCTACAGGTCATGAACGAAAACATCATGAAGCTTATAGGTGGAACAACAACCAAGTCGATGCATCAATCAAAAATATATAATTTTACATAGATTCACCATTATCCCTGCCCACTGAATCTTTCCTCAATTCTGATACTTATAACAAAGAAACACAGTAAGCAGTGATACCCACTACCATGAACATTCGGCTACTGTGACCGGCAGGCTACGCTAAAATATCGAGGGACTTCACCCCCCC